CTCTCAGCTGATGACGGGGTGACCCAATCAGATAGCTAAAGGTAACAAACTCATTTCATCTTTGCCACGCCCCACCTACCCACCAGCCACGCCCACAGTCCAGCCACCACGCCCACAGTCCAGTCACCACGCCCCTCCAACCCAACAGGCACGCCCACAGTCCAGCCACCACGCCCACAGTCCAGTCACCACGCCCCTCCAACCCAGCAGGCACGCCCACAGTCCAGCCACCACGCCCACAGTCCAGTCACCACGCCCCTCCAACCCGCAGGCACGCCCACAGTCCAGCCACCACGCCCACAGTCCAGTCACCACGCCCCTCCAACCCAGCAGGCACGCCCACAGTCCATCCACCACGCCCACAGTCCAGTCACCACGCCCCTCCAACCCAGCAGGCACGCCCACAGTCTAGCCACCACGCCCACAGTCCAGTCACCACGCCCCTCCAACCCAACAGGCACGCCCACAGTCCAGCCACCACGCCCACAGTCCAGTCACCACGCCCCTCCAACCCAGCAGGCACGCCCACAGTCCAGCCACCACGCCCACAGTCCAGTCACCACGCCCCTCCAACCCAACAGGCACGCCCACAGTCCAGCCACCACGCCCACAGTCCAGTCACCACGCCCCTCCAACCCAGCAGGCACGCCCACAGTCCAGTCACCACGCCCCTCCAACCCAGCAGGCACGCCCACAGCCAGGCCACCACGCCCCTCTCCAGTAACTGTGTCTTGACCCCTGACTCAAAGCTTCTCTCTCTCTCTGCGCTAACACAATGATGCTCTCCGGATAGATTCGTCACTGGCCGTCCCAACGCCACCCGGATGGAACCGAGCCTCATTCGGTTCGTCTCAACCGCTGATCAAGTTTAATGGTTCTCGGGAACCTGATCACCCTGACCGCTGTAATTACAGTCCTGGACTCTCAACACGTTACTGGCTGATGTCATGTTCCCCCAAACTCATCCCTGAGCCACTCGCCTCTATCCCAACTGACCCGTCCACCACCTACCCTCCTCTATCTAAACCAACCCATCTACCACACAATCTCAACCAAGCATCCCTTCACTCACCTTCATGTAGGGGGAGCCTGTCCAGCCTGTAGGAGCCTGTCCAGCCTGTGGGAGCCACCAGCCTGTAGAAAACCAGTGGTAGAAATTGATATGGGTATTTCATTAGCAGTGACAAAGAGAATACTCTTTGAAATAGAAACAAATATCTAATGAAGATCTCACCGACCTAATAAATTCACAAAGACCTGAAAGTTGTAGCATTAAATATTATGATAGATATCGTGAGGAGACATTCACATATGGGACTAATAGAACAAGAACCCGGCAATGTGATGTTATAGTGGCCAGAATACGCCTGGGATATAGACGTATCTGGCAGCTTTCTCAAAACCCAAATGTCGAGTACACAATGAGTCAACTTTGTGAAAGATAAAACATGCACTCTCTTGAACATTATATTGTAGAATGTCCCATACTGATTGACTTTCGCCCTCCTGGGCTAAGGTATGCTGAACTCTGTAATTACTATATGAATACTGGAACACTTGATAATATATTGGACTTGTATCCAAGATTGACCTTGTAATAGATTAATTATACAATGTATGTATATGATGTAACTATATAACCTGAGCTTGCAAAAGCACCTTAATCACCTTCAGTGATTAAGTGCTTAATTGCACACTAGTTTCTTTATCAGCTATCTAACCCTGTCAGAGTAAATGAGACAAATGTATGTGAATGCATGTGTGTGTATATATGTATGTATATGTATATGTATGGGTATGAAGTATATATGGAAGCTGATCAGAATTACATTTCACCTTTGTAAATGTACATTAATGACACTATGTAAAAGACACATCGAACACTTTATGTAAGGCATACGTAAATCTGTGTATCTATGTAATTACTCATGTAGGTTAGCTTAGCATTTTAAAAGCACCGAATCACCTTCAGTGGTTGAGTGTTCAATAAACCCTTGAAATATATGTTTAACACATCTCTAACCCTGTCCATGGAGGACAGAAGAAAATGTATATATGCTGGTTAGCATTGTAAATGTGTGGCCACGTCTGTGGTAGAAAATAATAATAATAATAAAAAAAAAAACTCACCTTCATCTATCCCGATCAACAATCTATCTCCTGAAACGAATACCTCAGAGTTAGGAGAGAAGCAGAGAGGCCATTTGAAACAATAACATTGCTGCAACGTTTCAAAACTGTTCTATGGCCATATAAGGAGAAGAATTAGAGTATGTAACCACGTGACCAGGTTGAGTTCTGAAGGATATGATAAATTAATTATTGTAGAGACCAAGGTTCCAAGATATAATATGACTAGAGGAGAGTGGAGAGGACATAGTTAATAACGATAAGGTCAAGAAACACATAGAGGAAATTGATGCGATATAGAATATGCCATTTAATATCACCATGGCTGTTGAGAGAGGCTGCGTAGATATTTTGCCATTTACTAACTAAAATTTTAAGTAAAACAATCAAGACAGGAGATCTCGCAAAATTCTGGAAGATATATACAGTACCAACATTCAAACCGGAGAAAAGACACGAGACAGTCGCTCAGATCACTGTCACAAGTATTCAGTGGAGAGTGATTGTGAAAGCAATTAAAGAGAAAAACCAAAGGGTCACAATCAGAGAGGTGAGGAGGTGAAGGGATGTGACAAGTGGGGTTCTCTAAGGCTTGCTCTTGGGACCATTGATGTTCCTAATATATGTTAATGACCTGCCATAGAGGTACCGATGAAAACTTCTTAAGGACTTATCCTGGATTACTTCCAGGACTTCTAAATTATTTAGATTTCTGGCAATTCGGGGGAAAAAATAGTCTTTTTGAAAGAAAAAATAATGGTATTTGGTGTTCACTTTAAATCTGTGGATCAACTTGTGGGTTGGATTCTCAGTGTATTTCATTATCTTGGTTAAAAAAGTTAAAAACGTTTGTTACCTGTAGACAACAAAATCATCATACAATGTTACCAGTTCAGTGGCGTCACAGCTTATTGTTAAGCTCGTATGATAAGCTTAGATAGTTATTTACTTAGCTAAGTATCGGTAAACGGGTGAGAGACAGTTACGGTAACATTTAATATGTTTAAGTTGAAGAGATTTCCTTTGAAACCCGAACGTGGAGGAGATTGTCACATCCTGGCGACATGAATGAGATGTTGCTTCTCTTCAGTCTAGTGGTGGCTGGGGCTCCGTGACTGCGTCACGAGGACCCCTATTCTAAATCCTTACTACGATCAATGTAAATTAAATATAACGATACAGAACGAGTCAATTCAACACGATATTGGCCCCCAAATGCTGAAAGGACACAAGAAATCTGATAAGTATGACGACGGAACAAAAGAGGGGACAGATTACCTGATTGAGATAACGAATGAGGGAGAGGGAGAGATAATCCGGATAGAGAGACGCAGGATCACGACGGAGACAGTCAATCCGGATAAAGGCGGGACGCTTAAATGCATGGGTTCGCATCATGCTCTAGTGAGTGACTGGCCCATTAACCCCTCCAGGTTTAACGACTGTCGCTAACAATTGGTAGTGGGAGTGGATGCTTGTCGTTCGCTAGGTTGTGCTAATGGACGTCTGGAATGTCAGGCATGACCAAAAAACTAATTATTCCCGGGTTTTGCGTGGTGTGTGTGTGTGTATGTGTGTGTGTGTGTGTGTGTGTGTGTGTGTGTGTGTGTGTGTGTGTGTGTGTGTGTGTGTGTGTGTGTGTGTGTGTGTGTGTGTGTGTGTGAGGTTGAGTCTCATCTTTTTTGAGCCCACAGCACAGCTTTTAATTCACTGCTGCTCATGTTCCCTGAGCGTATTGGGCCGTCAAATGTACACAAGACAGTGGTGATTAAGTCTGTCTCCACCACATCACTGCATCGCGTATTCCATTCATTCACTACTCTGACAGTGAAAAATTACTGCTAATATCTCTGTGGCTCAGTTCGGTACTTAGTTTCCACCTTGATTACCTTGCGCTCACACACAACCGGTTCCACGTAGTTTGTCTACTGTGCATGTGTGGTATCAGCTCTCAAGTGTTTACCTGCCCAATTCTCGAAGGTTATCTTCGAGAATTTGGGTTATTTTTTACTGGTGAGGAGCAGTGGGCATGCATTTCCCACTCTACTGTGAGGTTACTCAGCTGGGTCCCCCCTCTCTCTCACCTTCTCCACACATCTTCTGCATCTCCACTACTGAGGTTCTCTATGTTCGTTTGTTATATCCTTCTGAACAACTACTTCTCTCTCTAACATGTTGAATCTTACTTCTCTTCTCCTTTGTGCCCATGTTTGTGAGTACAAACTTTAGCAGGACATTTTTCTGCAACGTATACCTACCCAGCCTGGCCATCTCCCCGACATTATTTTCGTTCTGCGCCTTCCTCGTTAATGCCAAGATCCATGCCATTGTACCTCTGTTATTTCCTCTCCATTCCTCCCGTTTGGATTATTTGTCTTGATGGATTCTTACATCTATCATTTCTTTGTTCCCTTCTAAGAACCGACTAGTCCTCCTTGCTCTCTGCAAAGTGGCTGCCTGCACAGCTATCATGGCTTCTATGTAGGTTCAGATGTCTAATTTGCGAGTTTCTTTTGAGGTTCTTTATCTCTTCCTGTAGGCGTCGACCACGGCTTGTCCTGAAGGTTCTTAGCTTAATCAATATTATGTTTTATTTCAATAATTATCTGATGTTTTCTCAAGTTTGACTCAACATATTTACTTGTGTATTCCATTGGATTATATCTTGTTCATTTCCTTCCAGTTTATAACTGCGTCAAATCATTGGGTGAGACAATAAGAACACAGTTCTAAAATCCCCTCGAGATGATGATGATGATGCTGGCTGGTGATTCTGATGAGCAAGAGGGTAATGAGGATGGCGAAATTCCAGAGTCATTAAGAAGACTAAATACCATAATTACAACAAGTGGTCACTAGATTTTTAATGAGCATGCTATCTTGAGGTTATCTTGAGATGATTTCGGGGCTTTAGTGTCCCCGCGGCCCGGTCCTTGACCAGGCCTCCACCCCCAGGAAGCAGCCCGTGACAGCTGACTAACTCCCAAGTACCTATTTACTACTAGATAACAGGAACATCAGGGTGAAAGAAACTCTGCCCATTGTTTCTCGTCGGCGCCCGAGATCGAACCCGGGACCACAGGATCACGCGTCCAGTGTTCTGTCCGCTCAGCCACCGGCTCCTTTTTGTCATGCTGAAGATAACTTCAATAAGATCTTGAAGGAAATTTTTTCTTAAGAAATGACAAACGTTCAGGCATTCATAGACAAATTTCCAAGTAATCAGCGAAATTATGTCCAGCAATTCAAGAGAACCTATGATAAACACTATCTTGATAAATTCACACTTTATCAGATGGTCCAGTTGTAGTTAATTTGGTTTAACTCATAATCTTGAAATCATTTTAATGCCACTGACGTGTTTAACCATAAATGTTAGGGTCTATCACAATGAGTATCCCTCCTTAATATTCTCTGATTAATATTGCTGGTTACCATCACGGGAGTCGGTCGGCCGAGCGGACAGCACGCTGCACTTGTGATCCTGTGGTCCCGGGTTCAATCCCGGGCGCCGGCGAGAAACGATGGACAGAGTTTCTTTCACCCTGATGCCCCTGTTACCTAGCAGTAAAATAGGTACCTGGGTGTTAGTCAGCTGTCACGGG